AAGAGAAATACAACAAGGGATCTCAGTTCTGCTGCTTACTAACGTTTGTGTGATATTAAGCAAGTTCATCTTTATTTACTTGGTTTCTTCATCTAATATTATCTATGTTTTAGGGTGATATACTATTTAATTCAGTATGCAGGTAAGCATTTACTGTAGTGTCTTGCACTTAGCAAATTCTTGATAAATATTAGTTGTTCTTRTTATGGTTGTATTCTGCTTAGGCTGATTAGTTATGGAGTCTTCAATTGACTCTCTACCATCTTGTGCTTATTCTTATTTTCTAACCCTTGTAGGTGTGCCTTGCTTTTGAAGGCCCAGATTCTATCTCATGGCATCTTTTTAAATTTGCCCCCACTGATTACTATCCAGGATATTGTGTATAGATGAGCTCATAAGATGAATCTACTGTCCTGATTCAGATACTCATTCCTGATCCCATCATCCATGAATTTCTAGTGAAAGAAGCATCTGCCACAGACATGCAGGAACATTCTGGGACTCACTAAGTTGCTGGTCATAAGGAACAGCAGCCATTGAACTGCTTAGTCATGTCTGCTTGCAATTGATAAACAGCTRTAAGAGGCACGAGACATAGGCATACTTAGCAATGACAGGTTACAACTGATAGGGAGCACAGCTCCATGGACATGTGCAGAGAACATGCCCAGTTGCAATTACATCACCTCCCTGGACACAACCAGTGGACATTGACTTTCACTGGGTTTAATCAATCACCAATGTATACMGCCTTGCTCCAAGGACATGGGTGAGACTGGCCATTTGCTTTCCATCCCTGGACTGACTCCATCAATCCCTGACATCCAGCCATCCCTGGAGAGAACCATCAGATAAGGAMAACATCTTCTCATTGACTAAGAGAAGTCATGTGACATCGGAGGCATTTTGGGACTCATGGTTGCCCTAGGATTGTGTGATTTGCTTATAGTGTTTAATTAGTGTGCATTAAATTGTTGGGGTGCCCCAGTACACCCAACACTTTTTGCATTATTGTTTATATTTGATGATTGGTGTGATGGAATATATGCTTACATTTAAAGACAATACACCTCTGAGTAATTATTAATAGCACCACTTGYGATGCTAGTTAGTAGGATTTGGGGGTAGTTGGGGTGGTTTCCCTCAGAAGGGGTTAAAGCAATGACAAACAGAACTGAAGAGTATATCTTTGTTGAATTTATAGTCTTTCTCCCTTCTCTAAAATTTGATGTTCTCTGCTTTTTCTGTCTTAATATAGTTACCTGTATTGTTAATCAGATGAAGACAAAAGCTCAGAGAGAGATTTAAAGCAGACTGATCATGTGCCTTTAACAGAAATAAGTCATTTCATATCAAAGGGAAGTGAGTTATTGTTCATATCTTGAGATTTGGGGGACTTTAACAYTTTCAGTGAAATGCTCAAGATTTTGGAATTTATCTCTTTTCTAGTCATAAATTTTCTATTTTATTTTTCTCTGTACATTTTTTTAAGCTGAAATGGAAAAGCTTATGCTCCTTCTGGAACATAAGCTCTGGAATCCAAACTGAGTTTGCAGGTGAAGTACATATTCCCTTAATCATTACATGATGAGCAGTAATTCATAGCTCATTAACATTTCAAAGTGTACTGGTTAGCTTATGAAGTTACACTAAATTCAACTAAAAATATATTGTAGAATTGCAATAAAGTGGACTGAGTTAATGAAGTGACTTCTGCTTCTGGTCAAGATGAAATAACATCTTAGACTTACCCTTTGAATTTGCCCCTACTGATTATTATCCAGGATATTGGATAGTAAAATTCAGACAAAATAAATGAAACAATAGAATTCAAGACACTGAACATCAAGCAATGTAGGACAATCAATGGTTCCTGAAAGATGGATAAAAAATGAGACGAATCCTCCCCTTGCCCTATCGTATTGCCTGCAGAAAGTTTTCAGGCCCTGGCACAGGTAAAGGGAAACTAGGTTTGCAGAACGGAGAAAATGGAGTCATAGGAGAAGAGAAGTCAAAAAACAAGAAGAGTACTATAGAGGAGAGTGCTTGCATAAAGAAGAAAACAAGATATCTAAAGGGTCCCCCTCAAGCATTCAGTTCAATACTGAGTGTGTGCTAGTGATACTATGCAAACTTGGGGAAAGATCCATCWGAGAGAGAGAGAGAGAGAGAGAGAGAGAGAGAGAGAGAGAGAGAGAGAGAGAGAGAAATAGTGCCCATTACTCATAGAAGGCTGGGAATAGCATCTGTTTTTCAACAGCTGAAATGGAAAACCTTCTCATTCATTGGGGTTGGGGTTGGTACTAAGTACTAAAGAAGTTCTCATCTCAGTAGTAGATTTAACTAGGTCTACAAGCTGCTCTGGTCCTATCTGACAGAGTTTGAAAGCAAGACTCTGAAAGATCAAATTGTGTCTAATTAATTCAACACTTTACAAAACAGAGTTCAAAAATATTTATAAGAATGCAAAATTAGCTGTCACTAAAGTAAAATTCACAATATATTYTGCCTAATAAAAATGACATTTAAAGGAAGCAGAAAAATACAACTCATAATAGAAAAATCAGTTGACTCAGACTGACAGAAATGATAGAATTTATATATAAAAAGATTAAAACAGTTATCATAACTATCCCATGTATTTAAGAAGTTAGAAGAAAGATTAAGTATTTTTTATAAAAGACTTGAAAGGTGAGGATGTGAGTCCCAAACTGAGTTTTCAAAGATAAAAACCAATTATATGAAATTACATAGATATATCTTATCYGAAACTATCACAGATTAGATATTTTACAAGAAAAGATTAATGAACTTGAAGAAACAGAAAGAAAAGCCATCCAAAATTAGAAAAAWGACTGAAATAAAATGAATACATCAGTGCAATATGGGATAATTTGCAAATAATGGACTAACCTGAAAAAGAAGGGGGTGGTTACAGAAAAAAAATATTTAAAGAACCACCTGTCACTTTTTTCTAAGTTTGATGTAAATTGTAAACACATATTTTGAAGATGCTCACCAAATTCCTGTGTAAGGCACATTAAAAAAACCACCAAGGCATATTATAATCAAATTAGAACCAGTAATAAAAAAATCTTAAAACAAACACCAGCAAACAGTACATAAAACACAGACGGGCAGAGACAAGTGTGATCATAGATTTTTCATCAGAAGCAATGCAAGTAAGAAGACAGAAGAGCAGCATCTGCAGATAAGTAAAAAAAAAAAAAATCAGCAGCCAAAACATGATTTTTTTTTTAACTCAGAGAAAATATCTTTCAAAAATGAAAACAAATACTTTTTCAGATACACAAAAATTGGTGTATTTCATCACCTGATGTACAAAAAAYATATTTGATCAAATTATGCTATGTACATGGACAAATCTGGTATCATGAATCCCACTGTTATGAATAATTATAATGCAACAATAAAAATGAATCTATAAATAGTCCTTAAAGCTAAAAGATACTGACACTAAACAGAATCCCAAATCTATAAAAAGGACTGGAGAGTTACAGAAATTCAAACAGCATGGATAAGTATGAAAACACTTTTTATTATTATATAATTTTTTTAAGATGATAATCAATCATTTAGAGGGAAAATCACAATGTGTAAAATATAAAATCTGTAATACTGGCCAGAAAGAAAGAAATTGAAGTATCTTATTCTACAGTTCTATACCAAAGTGACACATCATTTGCACGTAGACTGGGATAAATTGAAGAWGTCTATTATAAGCCTGTTAAATTCCCCTTTCTCAATGGGTAAAGATAACAGGAGGTTTTTGTTTTTTAAATAACTGTATAGAGGAAAATTTAGGAGTATTTTTCAGAATCTTAATGGCATGAATAGTTTGATCCAACTCTTCACCCTTCATAAATCTATCTTACAGAGATTTGCAATATGAACACCTTTTTAATAAAGCAAYTCCTCTGTAAGCATTTAATCTAATAAGAAACTAGACATGTTGAGAAGATTCTCATTCTAATGTTATTTGTAAAAGAAAAAAAATAAGCTAAATATCYTTCAAAATATTTAAATAAATTTGATTTAGCCATCAACAGAATACCTGCAGACATTAAAATTATGGTTTATAACTGTATTTTGATATAGTTAAATACAGCAGTGTGAATAAATCCACAATATATCCTTAAATGAAGAGAGTTTAAATAATATATATAAAATAATCCTCTTTTTTTAGTGAAAAATAATAAAGAAACAAGTGATGTGTTTTCATGGGTATTCTCAATAGTAAAATATCTAGAAGGATATATAGACAGTTTTCCATAGTAATTTTCTCTAGTTAGTGGAATTTCTAAATTTATTTTGGTATTAGTTTATTGTTGCAAGAAAGATACATTAATTTCATAATAATTGTTAAACTAATGAAGCTATTCCATTTGGGAAAATACCTTTTAAGAGGATTATCCCACTTCTCTTACATATGTATTTTCATTTCTCCTACATCTTTCAATCAAAAATTTCTTCTAATTACAGAGTGTTTCACTTTGGTGAATGAGGAAATCTTTGTTCTTGTTGTTGTTGAATTATTGGTTTTTATGATTCTTTTAACATGTTTCAGAACACATTTATGCTTTAAAACTTTTTTGTTTATTTCTCTCTTTGGTATTTTTGTGAAGTTTTGACTTTGCTATCAGGCTTAATTTGCAAGCTGAATTTTGTTGTACTTTTACTACTTAGGCAATTTTTAGAGGARTTCATATCACTAATTTTTATTTTACATTTGCACTTTATTTTTTCTCTATTTGTTCTTTTTAGATATACATGACAGTAGAGTGCATTTTGACATATTCTATGTACATGGACATACCACTAATTTTAATGGCACTACGTTTAGTGCATATGGATATAGTCTCTGAATAAGACGTAAACMACCATCCCATCTACAAATAATCAGACTGTCACTCTGACAGGTCATTCTGTGCTAGGTGGGGATCTTGTTTTCTTCAAAACCATCTCCAACAGGAGCATTATCATTGACTTGGATCATAATCTGCCTGKTTTATAGGTTCTCTCTTGGCACGAATCAGACCAAACAGTCTGATGGGGTCATCATGAATGTTTTCCTCTATTGCCTGGCTTTCTGGTGAGAAACTCTCTGCCAAGTTGGTCGTAGAAATGCTGGCACCCACTGCATGTAATTGCTTGTCTTTCTCCTCCTCTGACAAGTGAGCATTCTGTTTCTTGGGCTTCCTGCGCTTCCCCTTGAAGCTGTGATCAAGGGAGGCGTAGCACATCTGTGTTTCAGCAGGCACCTAAAGAGAACGGTACGTTGATTCTTCATTGTTAGTCTGTTCATTCACTTTCATAAATTCTGAAATTTGTATGTCTTATGAAAAACAAGTAACTTGGTTTTGGCTTCAGCTACCTAACCCATCAATTAGGATAACAGAACAAAAATCAATAACCAACTCAAAGCTTTTGAGTTGAAAAAGGTGCAAAGTTAACAACTATTCACCAAAAGAAAACTGTCTTTGATATTTTATGCACTCGTACTTTTTATAAAGGCTGTCAAGTTTTGAAGAATGTTTCCATGAATCTTTTCCCTGGATTTTTATTTCTTTCTTATGTCCACTCAAAGTGGACATAACTGTTTTAGATTGACGCTCACCAGTCCCTGTCTCCACCTTTACCTCAGGTGATTCTTACCCTTACGTTGTTCTTACTAAGTAAAAATACCTCAGTTTKTTGGGAAGAATCATGGTAGAAAGGGATTAAACATATGACAAGTTCTACTTTACATGTRCTTACAAGGTCATTTAATGGTACCCACAAAAGTCCCCATTTTTTYCCCTACACTTTAAGATTCATAAGTATCAAGATAACAACATCCATTTAAGTGACTGATAGTTGACAAAGAATTAAATTTCCCATCCTTCCCTGTTATTTCCTTCTTGTGTATCTGTGCCCAAATCCCCTTTGAGTTCATTTTAAGTTGGCCTTGGAGATGTCGATTCACATCTAAGATGTAAGACAGTCTAGTAGTCTCTCTGGCCTAGAGCTAGGTCAGAACTATGACAAAAAGGATAAAATGCTAGAGCAACTTGGAGAAGCAACAAAGCTGAGGCCAGGACCTTTAATTTGGTGTTAGAAAACCTAGAATTGAATTTCAGCTCTACAATATACTAATCATGGAACCTCAAGGAACTTTAAAAAAATCAGTTTTAAAACCTCAGCTTTCTTGCCTTAAAAATAAAAGTAGTAATGTCTGCCTCACAGTTATCAGTTATGATCAGTAGATRAAGATAATATGTATGGAAGCTGTAATTATTGTCCAAAAGTACAATGATATCATAATTATTAGAAGTTCCAGGCTAAAATTTAAGGATAGCCATTGAACCAACCAAAGATTTCTGTATTCGGGGTTTACTTTTATGAATAGGCCAAAATAATATCAATTTGTGGATTCGGGAGTAAGGAAGTAACATTTGGATTAACAAATGTTAATTCTTGAGTAGATATCTTCCTATTGGTACTCATCTTCATGCTAAGAGTAGGATGTCTTATATTTTCTGTCAGGCAGAAGAGATGGTTCTGCTTACAAACTCTCTGGTTTCTTTGTAAAACTTTCTATTCTTAAAATATATRATTTCTAAAAAAAATTGCAACAATTGCCTAAGTGGTACCCTTGCTTTAATCTTTCCCTTCTTCCATTAATCCCATGTACTTTGTTTAAAGTATCTTTGTAAGGCACAACTTTCATTTTATCATCCTATCCCCMAAAATCTTAGCATAAAGACTAAAGTCTGAAATTCATATCCTGCCCTTTAAGGTTTTCTATTTCTATTCCCACTATGCCCCAACATAAATTCTGTATTCCAGGAAAACTGGACAATTTACAGTTTCCTGCCATACCTTGTACTGTTATCTGCTTTGTCTTTGCCCAGACAGAAAAGCTATCAGTGAAGTTTGAAAGATATTAGGTAACACAAAAGGATGCCTATCTTTTTTTTTGTCTATCTGTCACTCTGTTCTATTGTTCTTTCTTTGATAATTTTCTCCCTCTTCTTTTGGTAAAGTATTCATATCTAGTTTTGGACAGGCTGTCAATTATAGTGCTATACCGCGAGTTCAGCAAAAGACTAAGCATGTAACCAAGGCTGGACCAATCATCAGTTGCCTCCAATCTCACTAGCTATAGAGGGTAGCTCAGGATGGGCATGTGATTTTACCAGATCCAATTAGATAAAATTTTTAGGATTGATGTATACATTCAAGGATTGAAATATGTCTTTTTCCTAGGGTTTAGAAAAACAAATCTGAGCTTTCCAATTACTTGCTCACCCTCAGTCAAAGAGTCTGTTGATAGGAGAAGATAATGAAGCTAGTAATTTCATGAGGAGATATGGAGGTCACCTCCATATTTAATCATCTCAAAACCAAAATACACCCTTAGATCTCTTAGTCATAGAGAGCAATGGTATTCCTTTTATGCCAAAGTGRTTTGAATTTGACTTCTGCACTTCGAATAATTTCAAATTTCAAATAATAAATGCATTTCAAATAATACATGTCTGGTCAACACTTGGTCAACTTTATCAAATGCTGTAGAGTTCATAGAATGTGAGTCCTGAGAAAGAACCAAAAATTATATATTTAATAATCACTTGAGGCTTCCATAAGTACTGTTTCAGTTGAGTGTATGGATGGATGACAGGGGTAAAGGAATGTGTACCTACAGAGAAAAATGGAAACAAAAGAGGATGTTAAGAGCCAGTTGAGAAATTAGAGAGAAAACTGGTTAAAACAAGTTTTGTTGTTCTGTTCTGTTTTCATTTTAAATATTGAGAATATTTATGCATATTACTAGATAATTAGTGATGATTTATTTTTWAAATGTAAGATGGAGAAGAGTTAAGTACTTGCAGGTATAGAATCCTGAAAGGAAAATGAGAAATGGTCAAGAGCATAAGTATGAGTATTGAATCTGACAAGGAGAGAGGGTGCCTGACATAGGAAGGAAAGCAGAGGTTGGTTAGAGATGGACATGAAGGCAAAAGGAAATAGCTCACACTTGTATCCCTCAAATTTTATATGATATGGGACTCCTGTGGATTCATTTTATTACTAGGTTTCCTGATCAACTCTTTCTAGTCATTGGAGATTGAGGTATTGGAATTATAATCTCTAAAYCACATGCATCACTTTCAAAGGCTAAGAAGATTATTTACATTTTTTCTAACAAAGAAATATTCTCCCTCAAGTTTTACAATATAAAATTGAAGACTTTTTATACTTCTRTGGTTGACCAAAGTAACAGAGTATGATAATGGCAAGCTGAGTAGATCATGATTTTTCTAATAAAATGGAATTGAACAAATATAAATATATTACTTCTAATGTGTGAAACTAAATTTGTAAGAGGAATGTGATAGAACAGAGATTAATTTTGTGAGTGGTATATTTAAATATACAATTTATAAAAGAGCACACTTAACAATGTTATATGGCTTTGTATAATTTCCACTTGAGTGAAAACCAGATGTAGCTCAAAAATGCTAACATATACAATTCCTGTGTCATAACTTCTATTCAGAATTCTCAGTACTTTACAACCAAAGTCCTGCAAAATCCCTAAATTTCATATGGGATGGTTATATTTTAATCTTCTATGAGAGGTGTCCTTTTATTATCATGGATTTAGCAGATCATATAATATCATGCATATTTTATCTAAAAAATATATTTTACAATTATCTGAACATCAGATGATAGATTTGAAGCCTTTATATTTTTGCCCAACCTCATCACATCTTGATTTCTTAAAAAAAATTTCAAGAAGTCTGATTTCTTAGGGAATTCACATAAATAAAAAAGAGAGAAATTCTACCTTAATGGGAAGTTTCTGAGATGTGACCCATTTGGGGGACAGAATGTTTTCCATTAGACAGGATAGGTTGGATTCTGTTTCCATCCTTAGTACCTAGGTGCCCCAGGACAAGATTTCCACCTTCACAAGCATTGGTAAAGTGGGAATAATAATGCTGCTTTTCTCATAGTCATCTAAAGAGATAGTACATATAAAGCACAGGATATCAGGCCTGACACCTAACAATTGCTTAGGAAATGCTGTCCTTTATGCTATTTCAAGGTAGTAAGGAGAAATAATATAATTGAAGAGAACTATTTTAACTGAAATTTATGGCACTTTGGGAGCATGAAAGCTAAGACTTCTGAATGATTTTTAATAAGGGTTAGTTCGATGTTTGATGAGGTTGAACTGATTGTGGCAGGAAAAGGAGAAACTATATATTTTTCCTGAGTTTTTGTTTCTGCTTAAGTTTCTGTCCTGCCTGTCYACACAAACTGTTGTGTATATTTCACAATTTCATGCCATAAAGAGTACAGTCAGAGGGCTGGGGATGTAGCTCAGTTGGTAGAGTGCTTGCCTCCCATGCACAAGGCCCTGGGTTCAATCCCTGGTACCCCACACACAMAAAAAAGTACAGTCAGAAAATTATATTACAATGTACACTCATTTGCCTTTTAAAATAGAGGTATGCTGTTTCATATCCAGCTAAGTTATACTATAGCTTATGTTATTCTCTCTCTTTCTCATGGATTTCCGAGGTCTGATTCTTGTGAGTTTGTATGAATGTCAGCTTTTACATTTATCTTTGTGCTGCACATGAACTTTTTATTCTGAAAGGAAAATCATAATGCATTCYTTAGGAATAATCCAGCTTTTACCTTCAAATCTTGCCTTCGTATCTATACATAAGTTTGACTCTTTGAGTGTGCTTCAGATTTTGTTTACTTGCCTCTGATTGCTCTGTAGAGCTCAGGTCCCAGAACTTGATATTTGATTCATGCTACAAAATTTCCAGCAGGCTACTTCCAGCGCATATCAGAATGCAATGCTCTTATGCTCTTGAAACATGCCCATGTGCTTTGACCTRGACTGAACTTGGTTTTTGGTACAGAAAAACAAAACTCACGTGTGCAGATGGAGCAGCTTCTTGCATATTGTTTACAGGTCTCTCTGGTCGGGCTTTCATTTGTTCATAGCAATTTTCATCCATTTCTTCTGGAGAGTTGAAAAGATTGTGATGTACAACAGAAAAGAAATAAAGAACGTGAGCACAAATAAAAACACACTCTGCAGGAGAACATCATGCTAAATGAAATAAACCAGACTCAGARAAGCAAAGATCAAATGTTTTCTCTCATATGCAGAGGTAAGAATAAAGTAAGTGGAAAAGATGGGGAGATTGGATATSGTAAAGATAAAGGGAAAATCAGTGAAGTGGAAGAAGGAGATTGAAAGGGAGGAAGGAGGGACAGGAAAGGGGAGAAAATGCAAAATGAATTTTGACAAAATTATATTATGTATAATTATATCACAGTGAATTCTACCTTTGTGTATACCTATAAAGCTTCCATTAAAGATAAATAAATAAATGAAAGGAAAACCAGTAGAGGGGAAACAGAGGAGGGGAGAGAAAGGGGCGGGGGGCACCAGGGACTGAAATGGAGTAAATTAAATTTCATGTATGTATGATTTTGTCAAAATGAACTCAACTATTATGTATAACTATAATGCACTAGTGAAAGAAAAAATACWTGACCAAAAAACATTCAAATGTAAATAAGAAACCCCAAAGAAYTACTTAACAATCTTTTTGGTGGAGTTGCAAAGAGATTAAAGAAACACAAACTGCTACCTGCAGATCAGATAGTGAAGTCTTTTCTTTTCTTTTTATTTATTTTTAATTTTTTTGTACTAGGGATTGAACCCAGGGATGCTTAACCACTGAACCACATCCCCTACCTTTCTTTATTTTTTGAGACAGAGTCTCACTAAGTTGCTCAGGSCCTTGCCAAGTTGCTGACACTGGCTTTAAACTTGTGATCCTCCTGCCTCAGCCTCCAAAGCTGCTGGGATGACAGGTGTTCACCACCATGCCAGGCTGACAGTGAAGTCTTTTGCTTCACAGCATTAATAATGAGACAAATAAAAGTCCTTGGGATAAAAAATGTTTACCATTATAGGATATGACAGTCTCATCTTAAGCTACCATTTAGATGTTATAAAAACCCCATGTGTAAAGGATTACCTGTATTCCTTGTTACTTAGATATGATTGCAAATGATACATGGTGGCATAAAGTACAAGTTCATATATACATATATATATATATATATATATAATATATTAGTAATTACAATTTTATAATTCTACAAGTAAGAATTTTTATTCATAGTCATGAATCAAACATTCTGATTTTGAAAAGAAGCCTTACATTAAGATTTTTATCTCAATAGTCAGTGACAAGATAGCACAGGCACAACCTAAAGGTCCGAGTCTGTACAATGCTGTTCCTATATATTTGGGACTTTTGTTCAGTKTTTAAAAGCCAGCAGACTTATACTTATTTCATCCTATGAGGATGAGTTTTTTGAATCAATCCATATCTTTCTTCTTCCAAATATGTCACTAGATACCCCCACTTAGGATGCACAGTTACCTAAAAAATATATGGACTGTACCAATTTGCCCTCAGAGAAAAAAGATACATTACTATGGTAAAAGATGCCTAATAATCTTTCAACCCTTCTGAAAAAGCAACTCAGACAAATAGTCCAGGGTTCTCAAAACATAGTCGATAAAAAATCTGCATCAGAATCACCTGTGGTTAAATAGCAGATCATAAACCCAGTCCAGTACACACTTAACTCAGATTCTGGGGAAATGACACCTGAGCTCACTTGTGTATGGAAATTACAGGTATGGCCAATAGAATACGTGAGAATTTAAATTCTCAAATATTACTAGTAGGCACAACAATTCTGCAAAGGGAGACAAGAGGGCAAATTATTTTTAAAAATGTATTTCTGAGAAATGGTTTCTGATTCCTTAGAGTTCAATGCTTAGAGGACACTTTGCAATTAAAGATATAATTAAGAAAATTCTTGGATCTGATAAAAAACCTCACATTTCTAATTTTTGGAGGATTATATATTGTTTTGAATATAGATATTCAGCTACATCTAGTACATTACAAGAAATCTCTGTGTTTGGTCCTTAGAGATGAACAGGAATTATAACCCCAAGTCTTTTCTCTTGAATTGAGTGGAGATTGATAGGGAAAGGGCAGTAGCTTTTCTCACTAGTTCTGAGACTAGACCAAGGCTTTCTATTTCAAGGAATCTAGGGTGCTTTGTTTTTTAGGTGGTTATTCAAGGAATAAGGGATGCTGGTAACTGAAGAGCACTTTTTTTATATAAGAACAAAAATGTGTAAATCACCTAGTGATAATTTAGCTGTTATTTCCTTATCTACCATCCATCCAGCCCCAGGTCCTCTATTTTAAAAGAACCAGTTAGAACCCAGGAATCCAGAGGAAGTATTTATTRTTCCATATTATTTACAGCAGATTTGCTTTTGTTTATAGAGCACAAAGCACTGTTTCTGTGAATCATTTTCTTTTCTAGAAATAACTTTATTTCATGAATTCTCTGTGTGTCAGAATGCTTGGTAATAGGATCTTCCTGTATTCTCATTACTACTAGAGTGAAAGAAAGAGAATATAGAAAAGCAGGATGATGATTTACTCTTAATATCAATGCAGTTTATAATATACACCATTGGAAGCATATCCTAAATGATATACTAAATATATTTGAATTTATCGTTACTCCAAGGATTTTTTTAATGTGATTGTGTTTGAAAAGTGAGTTTTGTCAAATTMTTTGTAGAATTATGTGGGTCTACTTATTGATAGGTTATGAAAGAATAAAACTTACCTGGGATCATATTATCTAAATTACCGTAAATTGGTGYGTCTTCAATATAATATTCATCAACCCTATAACAAGGAAAAAATTTACATGATTAAAGTCCATTTTATGAATAATTCACTACTAACGTTCCTAACTTAGCCAAAGTCAGTACTGAGTTAAATACTACATGTTCTTATTCAGCCTCAACCAACCAAGGTAGATGTGTTTATCTGTGAGTGAGCACATCCATGTATGAATGTATGCATGTAAATTTAAATAGTTGAGAATGAGACTTTCTTTTAGGGAATGATTATTTAGTATTCATTGTGTGTCAGGTGCTACTTGAAGTGCATTTCATTTTTTGTTCATTTTATTCTCACAAAAAGTCCAAAAGATAAGAACTGTGTCCTTCCCATTTTACAGATAAGATATCCTAGGCACAGAGAGGTTATAGAACTTGTTCAAGGTCATAAGTCTAATAAATAGAAGAGTTGAGATTAGAACCTATCTGTACTAACTGTATAACCATACTGTCTAATGATATTCTTTCACCTTGAATATCCCTCTTAACAGTCCTTTAAGATTATATTTACTAAGTATGTATTGCAGACTAATTAGATTGGCAGCTGTAATAAAATGATTGATTAGCTATTGCATCTAGATGCTAGGTTAAATGTTTTACATACATCATGTTAAAAACCTATGGAAATTCTGCAAAGACAGTGTTATTATTCCCCACTTTATAGAAGAGAAGCCTGAGATTCAAATAAATGAATTTGTTTTCCTTAGTCCTATGTGTAATKTCATCAACAATGACCAATTATGAAAACGTTCCACTATGCCAGTGCTCATTCAATCCTCGGGACAATCCTACAATATGCATATATTTACTTCTATTGTACATATAAGGAAATTGAAACTCATAGTGGGTAGTTAAATTTCTCAAAGACACACAGTAACTGGCAGTGCTAGGATAGTAATGCAAATTTGATCCTAAAGCCTGTTCTCTGTCCTCATCATGAGGAAGACTTGCAGAAGGTGGTACTACTAAACAGCTATAGGAAAACAGTCTAGGAAGTCATACCAGGACCATAGCTTTGTGCCCCTCTAGTCAAGAAAATTGACAAGAACACATGACTATTTGTTCTTGTTCCTTGATTAAGTTTCCTGCCAGCCTCATGTGAGTGATGCTATTATTACAATAGACATCCTACTATTGTCATCAGACTGTCACTCTACCTATGACATCCTCCCATTGACAACACCCCTAGTAACCAGCTTTCACAATGGCAAGCTGGGATCGGAAGAACGTATCAGGTGGTGAAAGTGGCATTTCATAAAATAGTACCAAGCKCTTTAACTTGGAGATGACATGTCACTGAGAGCTGGAAGGAATTGCATCAAAAGAAAAAGGAACTCTTATCTCAAGGCCTGACACCTGCATTACTCCSCATGCTTCTGAAAGAAGACACAGTATGTATAAATTGTCAGTATCTTTAAAAAATAACAGTTCAAAGAATGCCTGCGTGAAATGGTTTCACAGTCCAGGTGCTAGCATGTCTTTCACTTAGCTTATAATAGAGGAACTCAGCTGTAACCTTTCTTTCCAGCCAGTAATTCAACACATCTTAATATTAAGATACAGAGTGGTTTCTGCTCAGGTTTTTCCAATTTTTAATAAGATGACCCATCCATTTTCCTAGCCCATAACGATAGCAGACACAACCTGCAAATGATAAATCATGTCCAAAAAATGAATATTGTTTCATTCCCTATGAATGAAAATAAGATGTGATTTATAATGTGGTGCCCTATGTCTACAGGCAGGTCTCAAATGATTAATCATCTCAAATAAACTATTATTCAGGAGCAGTGCCTAACGAACAAATTTTAAAAATGTATTTTTACTTAGAAATGCCAACTAGCTCCAGCTTATTGCAGACATGTAAAAAACTTCAACATGTGTTTGGCGGTATTTTATGTGGCAGATTACAGTAATTACTTTTTAAAATAAATTAATATATCAGCCCATAGCGGAGAGGCTAGTGTACCTCTGAGTTTGGGCCTGAGTTTGAGACTCTCCATTGCTCTGAGAATGACTCAAGTGGCCCTTTCACCGATAAATACATTTACTCGCACACCAAAATTTAAAGATGAATTAATTATATCTTTTACTGTAGCCCAAATTTTGTGTTTTAACAGATTTTTCTCTTTATCTTGTTTTTTAAATTCTTATTTTTAATTTTGTTGTGAAATATCTTTTAATTAGTCAAATACTTTATGATCTATGGGGATTTAAATAATTTGTTCAATTTTTTTTTWAAAAAAAGATCAYTACTTCTTTCTAAATGCCCTTGGGCTTCAATTCCTTAAGTTTTAACTCTCTTATTTATAAATCAAGATTATTAAACTAGTTGATCTCTATTCTTTTCAGTTCCGAAATTCTATTATATAAACATATATGATAAAAATCCAAATAAAAATTAAAGACAATTCTACAAAACTAAATGAAATTGGGGCTGGGGATAGAGCTTATTTGGTAGAGTGCTTGCCTTGCATGCACAAGGCCCTGGGTTCAATCCCCAGCACCCCCCCCCCAAAAAAAAAAAAAACTTAGTAAAATTGTTTTAAAGAACTGAGAAATTGTCAAATTGAGAAAAAAAAAAAAGTGAGCTTAAGAATCTATCAGAAAAAATGCTCACCATCTCTAGCAGTCAGAGAAATGCAAATCAAAACCACCCTAAGATACTATCTCACTCCAGTAAGATTGGCAGCCATTATGAAGTCAAACAACAACAAGTGCTGGTGAGGATGTGGGGAAAAGGGTACACTTGTACATTGCTGGTGGGACTGCAAATTGGTGCGGCCAATTTGGAAAGCAGTATGGAGATTCCTTGGAAAGCTGGGAATGGAACCACCAATTTGACCCAGCTATTCCTCTTCTAGGACTATATCCAAAAGACCTAAGAAGAGCATACTACAGGGACACAGCCACATCAATGTTTATAGCAGCACAATTCACAATAGCTAGACTGTGGAACCAACCCAGATGCCCTTCAATAGATGAATGGATTAAAAAATGTGGCATTTATACACAATGGAATATTACGCAGCACTAAAAAATGACAAAATCATGGAATTTGCAGGGAAATGGATGGCACTAGAGCAGATTATGCTTAGTGAAGCTAGCCAATCCCTAAAAAACAAATACCAAATGTCTTCTTTGATATAATGAGAACAACCAAGAACAGAGCAGGGAGGAAGAGCAGGAAGATAAGATCAGCATTAAACAGATACACTAGGTGGGAGGGAAAGGGAGARAAAAGGGAAATTGCATGGTAATGGAGGGAGACCCTCGTTGTTATATAAAATCACACATAAGAGGTTGTGAGGGGAACGGGTAAATAAATAAGGAGAGAAATGAAATACAGTAGATGAGAGAAGATGGGAGGGGAAGGGAGGGAGGATAGTAGAGGATAGGAAAGATAGCAGAATACAACAGTTACTAATAGGGCATTATGTAAAAATGTGGATGTGTAATTGATGCGATTCTGCAATCTGTATTTGGGGKAAAAATGGGAGTTCATAACCAACTTGAATCTAATGTATGAAACATATGTCAAGAGCTGTGTAATGTTGTGAACAACCAATAAAAAAAWAWWAWWAWWAAAAAATAAATAAAAATAAAAAAATAAAATAAAAGTGTTAAGAACAGGAAAAAAAAGAAATCAATGATAAAATAAAAAAAATTACTACAATACATGGAGATTAAATAATATGCTACTGAATGAACAATGGGTTGCAGAAGACATCAAGGAGGAGATTTAAAAAATTTTAGAGGTGAATGAGAACACAGATACGACATATCGAAATCTCTGTGACAATATGAAAGCAGTTCTAAAAGGAAAGTTCATTGCATGGAATTCATTCCTTAAAAGGAGAAAAAGTCAACAAATAAATGACGTAACATTACATCTCAAAGCCCTAGAAAAAGAAGAACAAAGCAACATCAAAATTAGTAGAAGACAGGAAATAATTAAAATCAGAGCTGAAATCAATGAAATTGAAACAAGAAATAATTGAAAAAAACAAAAAAGTTGTTTCTTTGAAAAAATAAATAAAATTCATAAATCCTTAGCCATGCTAATGAAGAGAAGGAGAGAGAAAACTCAAACTGCTAACATACATGATGAAAAAGTTAATATCACAACAGACACTACAAAAGTACAGAAGATAATTAGAAATTATTTTGAAAACTTGTACTCCAATAAAATAGAAAATATCAAAGGCATTGACAAATTTTTAGAGTCATATGATTTGCACAAATTGAATCATGATTTAAACAGATCAATTTCAAGCAATGAAATAGAAGATGCCATCAGAAACCTACCAACCAAGAAAAGCCCAGGACCAGATAGATACACAGCCAAGTTCTACAAAACCTTTAAAGAAGAACTAATACCAATACTCTTCAATTTATTTCAGGAAATAGAAAAAGAGGGAGGACTTCCATACTCATTATATGAGGCCAATATCACTCTGATTTCCAAACAAGTTAAAGACATATCAAAAAAAATTCAGACCAATATCTCTAATGAACATAGATTCAAAAATTCTCAATAAAATTCTGGCAAATCAAATACAAAAACATATCAAAAAGATCATGCTCCATGATCAAGTGGGATTCATCTGAGGAATGCAAGGTTGGTTCAACATACAGAAATCAATAAATGTAATTTATCACATCAATAGACTTAAAGATAAGAATCATATGATCATCTCAATAGATGCAGAAAAAGCATTTGACAAAATACAGACCCCTTCATGTTCAAAAAACTATGGATAATAGGAACATTTCTCAACATTTAAAAGCTATCTATTCTAAGCCCCAGGCCAACATCATTCTAAATGGAGAAAAAAAATAAAGGCATTCCCTCTAAAAACTGGAACAAGACAGGGATGCCTTCTTTCTCCACTTCTATTTAACATAGTTTTTGAAACATTGACCAGAGCAATTAGATAGATGAAAGAAATTAAAGGGATATGGATAGGAAAAGAAGAACTCAAATTAGCACKATTTGCTGACAACATAATTCTATACCTAGAAGACCCAAAATATTCCACCAGAAAACTTCTAGAACTAGTRAATGAATTCAGCAAAGTAGCAGGATACAAAATCAACACACATAAATCAAAGGCATTTCTGTTTATCAGTGACAAAACCTCTGAAAGGGAAACAAGGAAAATTACCACATTTACAATAGCCATTGGCATTCCTCATGGAAATAGAAAGAGCAGTCATGAAATTCATCTGGAAAAATAAGAGGCCCAGAATAGCTAAAGCAATCCTTAGCAGGAAGAGTAAAGCAGGTGGCATCACTATACCAGACCTTAAACTATACTACAGAGTAATAGTAACAAAAACAGCATGGAATTGTAACCAAAATAGACTGGTAGACCAATGGTACAAAACAGAGGACACAGAGACTAACCCACATAATTCACCAAAAACATACATTGGAGAAAAGATAGCCTCCTCAACAAATGGTGCTGGGAAATCCATAGGCAACAAAATGAAATTAAGCCCCTATCTCTCACCATGCACAAAACTCAACTCAAAGTGGATCAAGGACCTAGGAATTAAACCAGAGACTCTGTATCTAATAGAAGAAAAAGTAGGCCTAAATCTCCATCTTGTCAGATTAGGCCCTGACTTCCTTAATAAGACTCCTATAGTGCAAGATTTAAAGCCAAAAATAAATAAATGGGATGGATTCAAACTAAAAAGCTTCTTCTCAGCAAAAGAAACAATCAATGAGGTGCATAAAGAGCCTATGTTTGGGGAGCCAATTTTTACCACATGCACTTCAGATAGAGCACTAATCTCTAGGGTATATAAAGAACTCAAAAATATGTGTCATATGAATTGTAATGCATTCTGCTGTCATATATAACAAATTAAAATTCTAAAAAAATGGGAAAAAAAGAAATTTGCACCGTTTTGCAAGAATAAGAATCATAAAGGTTTACTCTTGAAAAAAATCCTAAACAATTAAAATGGTTTTATACTATCTTCAGCTGGAAAACKTTTTATATCCTTTATCTGCTTACTTTATGGGTTGATATATTATCATCAATTAATTAAGTCATTTCTATCATCATAAAATGTCATCATTAGAACTGCAAAATATACTKATGAAGGGACTAGACTTCTGCAGTTACACACGGGTAAGGCTGGGGTGATGGTTATTTGTACATTAAAACAGGAGGCTGGAAAGCTCAGGGACACTGGAGCAGCAGTCAGAGAAGGGGCTYATTTGCATACCCCACTGGGAGTGTGTTATATCAGGAAAACACAATCCAGGAGTTCCACTGTCTTCAGCATTCTCAACCCTGAGAAGGGGTCAAGAAGACAGTGGAGACTAGTTATATTTAGGGCACTAGTTATATTTGATGAGTGTATTTAGCACCAAGGGGAAATAAAAAGGGTCCYAACCTGCAGAGCTCTAACCATCCAGGAAATAGCCCTAAGGTTGAAGAGTAGCTGAGCAGAGATGTTTTGTAATGCTGGTGGGAACATGTCCCAAGCTTTCTGAGAGAAACTGAAAACTGAGGAGTCATGATAAACTTGAAGTAATTGTAATCCAGGACTGCTTTCCTAGAGTAGGCTGAACAAGCTGCAAATGGGTATGAGTAGTCTTAGATTTTAATTCTCAACCAATAAAGTAGCACCTTTTTTTTTTTTTCGACTAACCTCTGTAAAATTCACCAATGCTTATGTTTCCAAAACTACAAAACTACCATTGAGAGAATTTGATTAAAATTCAGAGTAGTCTGGATCCTAGACCCATGGTATTCCCACTACACTAACTTTCTTACACAAATAAAAAGCCAAGAATTGTGTAGAATCACAGTTAAAATGAAAACCAAAGTGGCCCCAGGGTAAATACCAGAAAGCGAGTTTATTTGACTTTCTGTTAGATTTATGCTGTTCTTAAATTGATCATGTTTCTGACCTACAAGTACAGGAAGAGCAGGGATTTGGGGACGCAGGACAATGAAGATGAGAGAAGAAAAACTTTTCCCCTTTTGGCCTAGCTTCCCACCTAGACAGATGCTGGGCAAGGGCAGGGAAGAAGCACAATGGAAAACCCAGTATGATGGGAGCTAACTACCTTCTTTCTTGCTATAAGCCACTTTGGAACTGAAAAGGCATAACTCATTCTAGACCTACCTTTAAAAGATGGTCTTGTTTCCACTTACTCTGTTTTAACATTTTTAATTTTAGTAGCTGTAGAGTTTTTTTTTTTTTCCTGGAGCTTTAAAGCTCCCATACAAAAGTGATTTTGTTTTCGAACTCCATAATCAAGAGAAATAGAGCAGTTATGAAGTTTATACCTGGACGCTGTGAATTAGCATGCTTTTCTATAGATAACRTCTGCATTGCATATTCAGATTTTGCCTAAGTGGAGATTTATTACACAAGACAAGAGATGATTGGATCCTTGAAGGAAGGATCTGTGTCTTTTCATCTTTGTATTTCTATTGTTGCAGGACAGTTCTCCARGTGGCCTTGAAACAATCAAGTTCTCCTCCTCTGTCATTTGTAATTCTCAAGAACAAGTAAAAATGTTCTAAAGAACAACCTCCAGGGATGAAGAGTAGCTGGCTTCAGCAGAACAGACTCTAGTCCCCCACAGAGACAGGAGGTTCCTTCATCATTAGCCCACCACAGCATTTTGCTCCAGGGTATAAAACCCAATGTGGAGCCAGCTCAGGAGGCTAAGGCAGGAGGATCTTATTCAAACCCAGCCTCAGCAATTTAGCAAGGCCCTACGCAACTTAGTGAGACCCTGTCTCTAAAGGAAAAAAAAAAAAGAAATAAATAATTTAAAAAGGGCTGGAGATGTGGCTCAGTGGTTAAGTGCCCCTGGGTTCAATCCTTAGTACCAAAAATAACAAGGTGGGCTGCTTTCTGAGRTCTCTTAATTCCAGTGCAAGGGAGTCACAAGCAAATGAGATACTATTCCTGGACAATTTTCCCGAGCACTGAAAAAGTAACTCACAATGATTTCTAGACTTTTGTTTTCCATTGCTTCATATTTRTGTGTAATAGATCTTCCACATGTAGCTCATTATGTGTGTTGTGTGTCTTGTCACACAAGACACAAGCAAGTAAAAACCAYGCAGCCAAAGATGCAGCAGACTGAAGTGATAGAACTCTGTCTCCGGGTGGTTGCCATAGTGATGATCTTTGTTTTCCTCCATGTGGTGTGGATCTTCCCTTGGGTTTGGTCATTAGTGAGCTGGTTTTGCAATTGTCTAAAACAGTGCTTATTGTTGAGTGAATATTTATGGAATGAATGAATGTTATAAAGAACCAGGCACTATGGGGTATGCCTGTAATCCCAGGTACTCAGAAGGCTGAAGCAGGAAGATCACAAGTTTGAGGTTAGCCTGGGCATCTTAGTGAAATTCTGATTCAAAATAAAAAGTAAAAAAGCCTGGGAACATAGATCAGTGGTAAAATAACCCTGCGTTCAATCCCCAGTACCATCACAAACAAACAAACAATCAAAACCAGCTACGTTTTCACATTTGCCCTGCATCAAAGAGCCTGTTTGCATGGAGATGGGTATTTTATCAAATTTCCCTTCCAACTCCTTCCATTCTAATTCACAAACCATTCTTTAGTTAAATGATGTAGTCATAGATTTCTATCACACTGCATCTTAATTACCCTTCAGATGAAAATCAGTCATCAAGGAGATTAGCCTCTACTACATGGTTATATAGGATTATTTTTGTCATATTTTTGGTAATAAACAAAAGAGTAATGAGCAAATCACTCCTGATATGAACTAATGACTTGAAAATTATCTCATGCTTTATAGGAACTCCAATGCAAAAAATAAATAGTCATAAAACTAAAAATTTTGTGTGTGAGTAGGTCTGCCTGCAGCCCAGATCTTCCATCTGTTAGACATTTTACATAGAGAACAACTAAAACCATTAGAACCCCAAAGGCTTATGATATTATGCTATGCAGTTAGAAAGTTCTCTGTTTTTCAAAGGCCTGTCAGTCCACCGTTTCAGAGCCTTGAAGAGGCCTTGAAGGCCTCTAAGAAATTCTCTTTATTTAGATTGTTTTTTACTCCTAAAATGGAATCTCCACTAAAATGACACATTAGGGTTAGAAATACTGTCTGAAAAATGAAATTTCTTTATTATGATTTATGCTATAAACATCTTTAAAAGTATTAAACTATACAAATTTCTCTGTAACTAGATCAATAAATATTAAAGGGAATAAATATTAAAGAATAACTGTAACTGGATGCTCTATTAGATAATTGATTCATTCCACTTACCTATTGATTCACATGACCCTTATAAACAAACAGCGTGCCACTAGGCTTATTGGTATATGAGATATTGCCAGATTTTTCTCTACTCCAGATTCTGAAGTGCAGCATAATTCTATATAAAATTCACCCGTGCTTTTAAAATTTTAGTTGAATCATAATCTAGTATATCTGCTTTGGGAATTAATGAGAACTATAGATGCGAGGTTAGAGTTTCATTTCATTCTTCACTCGGCTGTTTGATTGACTCAGGATTTGTTAATAACTAGAGTGGATAATAATGTTAGAGCATCTAATCTTCAGATGAGAGTAAAAATAATTAAAATTCACTTTCATTTTATTTTAACCCAGGTGCAACATCCCTGAATCAAATCTATAAGCAATATAGCCTTTGTTACTCTCCCTCAATAATTGGGAATCATAAAAGATGATTCAATTTCAACATACCTGGGAATGAAGTCATCAGAGCATCTGTACATTTTATCTGAAAAATATCCAAAATATACAAATTAAAAGAAACTTTGGCATACATTCGCTAAATCTTCTACAGAGTGTTCTGAGGGGAGTTTAGCCTCCRTGTAATTTAACTTATTTGATCATGCCATTCAGGCCACCACTAATTGAACTTGAGATGCTATGGTTTGAATATGGTTTGATTGTTCCCCGAGGGTCCATGTTTTAAATGCTTGTTCTTCAGAATGACAGTATTAGAAAGTGCTGTGGAATCTTTAAGAACTGGTGCCTGGGGTGGGGTRGGGGTCCTTGGACATTAAGTATATTACCCTCAGAAGGGATTAGGTATTTTCTCAGGAACCCCTAAGTAGTTCTCAGCAGAGGGTTAATATAATAGAAGAAAGACTGCTCACTCCCTCTCTGCCTTCTGGCTGGAGCAGCGATGACTTACTTCAACCCAGGCTCCTGCCATTGTTATCTGCAATGAGGTGATTTGGTCAAGGGGCAGCAATATAGAGCCTGCATTATGCTGTTTGCATTTTGAATCATCAAGACCATGAGCTAAACAAACCTGTTTTCTGTATAAAGTTAGCTGCCTCAGGCATTTCATTGTAGTGATTGAAGCTGACTAATACAAGAGATGAAGACATTCTGCTATTTGGGCCAATCAGATTCTATCATGGTAATATGAGATGATACAGAAGCCAGAGGCAAGGCCATTTTAAGCAGAGGAAACACTAGGCAGAGAAAGCTGGAACTTGTATTCCTGCCTTCCTTGTGGCTCCTGTCCATTGTGGAACATGGACACATTTTCTGCCTTTGAATTCCATCAACACTTCTGCATCCTTTTGTTAGCTTCCTTCTTTGCCATATTGGTTTGAGTAGGCTTTTATTTGTTACCCCTCAAAAAATAATAATAATAATAATCCTAAGAGAAAGTCCTTTTACTAGCTATCTATTTATCTATTTTTAAAATGTTAACATTTCTTGGCATCTGAACAACAACATAAAAGTGATGCTAAGAAAGTAGTTTCAATCATAAATCCTTCTTATCTACATGCAAATAGTGGTAAGTAAAGGTGACAGTTCTAGGGAGAAGAGACTGGGGAAGAGGTGAAACTTAACCTCTAAAATTAATCAAAACAGTAAAATAGCTTCTAAAAGAAATAGTTTTCTTTAGTCTGAAAATACAAGACTGACCAGGAATATAATATTGGACAATGAAACCATAAAAACAATTATGTGCCAAATCTCAGGAAGTAACCCACTGTTGAACCTTGAAACTTGCACATCAAAGGTAAATAATTTCTAGTTAAATATATATTCAAAAGATATTGGAAATACAGTTTTAAGAAATTTATTTGGTGAAGGCAATCAATTCATAATGAATTGTTGGAGTATGTTAAGAAATATTCAGGGAACATTTTTGGTAATTAAGATCAATATTGTGATTTTCATTATCCATCAATGAATTTTCTTTGATTTTTGAACTAGATATATAGCATGATATTTATTACATTTTAATTTCTTATTTTTTAACCTGACATTAAATAAAAGCTAAACCCTTTCAGAAGCTATTCTATAAAAATAGAGACCAATATTATCTAAGTCTATGGCAATGACCCAGAGACAGCAGTAACTTTATCTTTTAGTTTTAATATAGGAAACATAGTGAGAGTTGGTAAAGAACTAGCAATAACATTTTCAAATAATTGAGTAAGTCACCAAGCAGCTGTGAAGATTATTTTTAGCTAGATTTAGTGCAACAATGTTGTTATCCTTCAGAGGAGTTATATACTGGTAAGGTAATATTAGGGGAACAATATATGAAAACAGTCAAATTGCCAGATGAAATGAACATGTTACATTGTGATGCATTTGGAAGAATTCTGTGAAGGACCAAAGGAGGAAAGGTTTTGCACAGCATATATACTAAGCTGCTATGGAACTCAAAATAATGAATGTAACCCATTGGGACCTGTCAGAAATACACTTCTTCCAGCCCACAGGAAATGCCCTACCATGAACTGCATATAATAGAGGCAGTTATTTTCAACTACTTTCAGATTAGACTTGTGAATGTAAACACACACAAATGCCAGTGAAAGCCAAAGGTGATCTGAAAGATGCTATACAGTAGTTACAAGTTAATGAGCACCCAGCAAAATCAGGAAGCCTGAGAAATATAAATTAATATGTCAATATTATTAGAAGGATAATAATTACACAATAACCAACAATAATAACTAATTAGTTATTATAGACCATAAAATTGTAATGTGGAAAATAAAATATATATATAGTATGTGTTGATTTCTTTCTRTGAGAAAGAAATGTTCATACTCATGCCATAAATTATTATTCAGATTTATCTATAATTAAAATTATGTACAATAACTTAAAAAAACTGTTGTCTGATGTATCATAGAACAAATTTWGGGCTAGGAATCAGAAGATACTGGATATGATACGAGCTCAGCAATACATTTGTTATGTGACAACATGCAAATTATTTAAAAATTCTGATTCTCAGCTTATTCACAAGGTAGGAATAAATCTACTCCTGTGTCATGCAGTATATTTAAAAAACAAATGAGATGATTTCTGTGAAAAAATTTTACAAAATGACAAAGTTACTTGTTCATGTTACATATTCTAAATACATACCACATAACAAGCCACAATTTAATTGTGTTCAGTTGAATTGGGACATTTCCTCATTAAATGAACTAGCTGAAAATAGACTGATATTATTAAGATGGTATTTTAACAYTGAAGTTAAAAATATTTATAAGTAAAGCTTGACCTGCAATAAAATTGTTGAAATCTCCAGTTTGATAAGAGGAAAGTCACCAGATGAACATTAATATGAAAGAAAATAAAGAATATATATATATATATATATATATATATATATAAAATTTGAAAATAAAATGTGAATGAAAAATATTTGAAAATAAAATAATATCCTTGCTTAATAAGGATAGGGAAAAAAGATAGGTAGATAGTGGAGTAAGTAAAAGTATTTCCCCAAACTAATATTTTTAAAAGATAATGTGAACTCTCCAAGGAGAAGTACTTGAGTATGAATATTGGAAAGTATACTCATATAATGAGTCCCCTTGTGTCACCTTGTAAAAGGGAAATATATCATAAGGAGTAAAAGGCACAAAAGGAGGAGGAGGCGGAAAAGGAGAAAGAGAAGGTGGAGGACGTGGAGCGGGGGAGCAAAATCCACCACAAGAAAGTATGAGCAAAAAGCTTTGTGGGGAARAGGGCATAGAGGTAGCTGTATAAAGAACACAATAGAATAATGTGTGAGGCTTCCATGAGAGGAAAGGGGGCTGAATCAATGTGAAAGAGAAGAAAATAAGTGATGGAACCATTATCCATCAAGATCAACTACACTGAAGCAGCACACTGAGAGAGTTCAAAGACATCACATTCTGGGCTATTCTTAGAATTTAAATGTGTAATCTGGAGCTGGACCATCAATATTTGGATGATTTTAGTTTTACAGTCCTTCCTAAAGGAAGGTGAACAACTATAATCTCTTTAAATGGGAAGTAGTAATGGAAAATGGAGGGGTGACAGCTAAGTGTGAAGGTCAGCAAGCTCAGGCTTCTGAAAAGAGCTGGCTCTGGCATGAGAGCTGGTGAGTTTATTTAAAAATAGATGGTATGACTTAAAGGCTGCCTAGTCATTTCAATCATATTTAACAAAATTACAAAGTGTCTGCTTTGTGATAAAGTGGTGAAGGGTGCAAGATGGTGTGTGAGAAGAGCTGGGTGAGTTTTCATGATCCTCTCCTGTGATTCAGATGCAGACTCTTGCGGTCGGGTACACAGAARAGAGGATGAGAAGCAAATGTATTTGCTTTTATGTTTTCTTCTTTAAAAGGTACACCCTTCTAAGCACTATACACTACAACAAGAAACAATAGCTCATAGTTTAATCCCCACAATAGAATCTTTCTGATTAATTTTCCATGAGAAATGTGAGAAATGTGTATTATTTTCTAGAGAAGAGGAGATACACTGACAGGACTTTGATGTATGTGCAAACCGTGCACTTGTTTATCCTTCTCGAAAGAATTGGAGAAGTAATGTTCCTTGGATTTAAAGAAGGAAAAAGCTAATGTATTCCTATCAGGAAAATGAATAAATATAATCCTCCTAAAAGAACAGATTTGGACAAAGAATCACATAAAAATGAAAGATTTGTTTGGGGGAGGAAAAGAGAACTCTATTTCAAAGCTTCTACCCAGCTGCTACAGAAAACATCAAGGAAAGGCTTATCTTGTCTATCTGATTGAATGTGCAGATATTATATTGTCACAAGGATGGAGATTTTCTTTTGTAAGCTATTTAATACACCAGCAAAACTTATTCACCCACTGTTTGCCAAGGTGGAGTCAGACCTTGCAAGTTTCTTAGCCACAAAGAGTAGYACAGAAATGCAAACACAAAAAGTTGCATGAGGTCAGATGCAAGAGCATTGCATTTACAGACCAAGTTTTAGAAAAKCTGACTGAGAGGGCAGAATCTCTTGTCTATGCAGGACAAACAGGTCAGAGGGGAGTCTCCAGGGAGACCTGGGCTTGAGTTAGACATGTCAGTCCACKGATTATCTTGTCCCACAAAAATCTTAAAAGAATACCACCTGGATCAACAGAAAAGTGAGGCACTAGCTCAGATGATCGCTCTCGTCATACTTACCACCTTAAATTACTTCACCTCTCTAGCTCTCAAATTGTCTTTCTCTAATTCAGGTAATATCATCTGCCTTCATAAAAGATCTCAAATAAGAAATTAAACTATCCTCTACTACTTTTAGCTTGTATTTTCTATAAAAGAAATAAACTGTGTAAAAAAGTCTGATGATGAGTCATTTATACATCTACCTTATAAAATGTGGTTGTTTGAAKATATATTTGTTTTTAACAATAATTATGGAAAGCTTGTAAGTGAAAAAGCATTGCTTGCCTGGCATTTCACCTTAGACACAGATCTGATGTATAGAGGTCCTAAAAGAATTTTAGGTTTCCAGGTGAGGACATTTCATCAACACAAAAGCATATGTACTGGTAGAAACATTTTGCACAGAGAATTAGAAAAATRAGGCACTTACTCAGATTTTGCTATTGAATCAATGCATGACCTCACTATGTCACTTCATTTTCTAGTGCCTCTAATCTTTTTTTTWAAATCTGTATGACAATGCCTTCTTCTCCATATTTCACATTATCATTTCCAACACTTAAGAAGCTACTCSTGAGAGGGCCAAGGACACTCCCTGCAATGTGACCATTGCTCTCAATTGATTCAAGTTTTCTTGGACATATGTGTCTACCTTACCTTTGTTAGCTTAGTTTTATTTCTTTTCATCTGTTAAAAAAGAATGCTTTTATCTTTTCTTGTCTTTATTTTTGGCCCATGTAGGGTCTGTCCCTCAAAAGTTTCTTAGACCTAGAATATTGATATCTCCCAGAAATGGTTYAACTTTCATTCTTCCATCCCATGAATCCATGTACTCAGCATGCCTGTGTTGAATGCCTACAGCATGCTGTGCTAGTTACTGACCTTTACACTACTTTAATCGTGGTATATGCAGGTAAAATCCACCTGGTTAAAACTGCTGTCCAGCCTGTTGAAAAAGAAGCACTGACAGTAGCAGATCCTCTTGGTCTGTTCTCCTAGTCCCTGGGATGGGCTGATTATAAGCCCATGGTTCAATCAATGCCCTTTCCACTTCTCTTCTGAAGCCACCTCACTCTGTGGATCTGCAGAGGGCCCGCTGACCCCGAGAGGATTTGAATAGGCTTGAACCTTAAAGAGATACTCCTCTCTCTTCTCTTCGTGTATCAGAGAGAACTTTTGTGGCCGCATTTTGATGAGTTGTCCAATTGGAGGGGAAAAAGTTTTTTACCAGGATAATCCCTTGCAAGTCTATACCCTAAGGCAAAGGTAAAGTTAAATTTAGTGGGKTTTTTTTCACATTTCTAATATGATTGCATTGTTAAATTAAGAAAACACTTGGAATTTTAAAAAATCAAATAGATTTTCTGCAGAGAATATATTCTATTGGATGACATTTCATGAAATTGTCTACTTCTGTAGGCTTTCCAGTGACTACACTCTCCATTCAAGCAGGTACCATAYACGTCAAAATGTCTTACCTTGTCGTTGCTTTTCTACATAGTGAGAGATATTGAAGATCAACGAAATAACCAGAGCCAAACCCAAGAAGGCTAGAAGTCCCCAGAGAAAAAAGGGGCATTCAGAGTTTCCTGGAAACAAAAGGAAATACACGCATGATATAGTAGTTAACTCCTCATTTTTTTGTTCTGGTTGGTCTCACAATGAAAATGGCTGCATTCATTCGTAATAAAGGAAAAGTCCTCCAACAAGAAATTAATCATCATTGACCAAAAGCTTATTACAGATTTCAAAGTGGGTGTAGACAGTAAGTCCTTGAATTCAGCATGGGAAAAAGGAAACAAATTTCCCAAATTCCTACTGTTGATGACATGGAAGATATTTTTAGTCTGGCTGTTAAAAGGTGACTAGTGGTCACTGATTATAAAAGCCTTCATTCAAAAAAAAGAATATCCTAATGATCAAGAATCATAATTTGCCATCTTTTCCCTTTCTTTAATATTCAGACTAAAATCATGTGTGCTTTCTCTGCTTACAGAAAACCACTGGTTCTCTTCCATCAAGCCTTGCAGTGTCGAACATCAGGTACTGAAAAACAACGATAATTCTGGAATCAAAGCAACTCAGTTCTGTWAGGACTGACCCCAAGGAGCTCTCCTCATACTATTTAGAACTCCATGAATGAACTGCAGAGAGTTCATTACAACACTCTTTCCCCTCTGTGAAGAGAAGCACAAACTCTCTTTGTTTCATTTCTGAGTCATGAAAAACATTTTATGGGATATTATGTAAGATGCACTTGATAGTTTATGACTATCTCTACACCTATATGAAGGACCATCAGATGATTAACCTAATTTGACATATCTTAGTAGTCATATCCCTGTAGGGCCCACATCATTTGCTGACCCCAGAAAAGTAACTTGTAATTCTGCATTACAACATATATATTTATTCAACAAATATCAATGAGAAATCACTTCTGTAGCAAGAACTATGTCCTATACTAGGGATCAATGATTTAAAAATGAACAGAATGCTTATGCTCAAGAACCTCTACTTAAGTTGTGAATGTAGAYGTTAAACACTTAATTAGAAATACAAGGTGAATATAGCTATAATAGAGATTACATTCCTTCATGGTCCCAAACCTAATGCTATGAGACATCTAAAATCAGAGCCCGTTTTAGACCTCTTCAAAGAAATGAAAATACTACCATGTTAAACCCAGTAAAGACTATACAAAGTCGTAACAGAGGGAAAATTAGTTKTGCTTCCCTACTCTTTTTAAAGTATCCAACAAAGACTTTCTAAACCAAAATAACTTTAAWGCTGCTCAATACTCCTTATTTTCTGAATCTCACTCTTGACATTTGAATTGTGTACTTGAGTTGGCATAATTGATTTTTAAATGAGCATAGTTAGGCATATGAGTGATTAAATACAGAAAATGGGTATGCGTATTATGATATAAATATGTCTATACATATAWGCATCTAATTTACATGTCACCTGTTTGTACATATGTACATTGTTTTCATTCAAATTAGTTCAAATCTCTTTTAATGCCTGAAAAATTGTCACCTGCTCAAACTTCCTCTTTAATTTAGTACCATGTTATTTCTATATGTTGGAAATATAATAATCTTTACTGAGAATTAAGCTATTCTATCTTTTATTCTGTGATGCCATTATGTGTGCTTTAAAATATTTTTTCAAGAATAACTAATAAATAGAAAAAATAACTAATGATGATGATAAAATGTGTGGTTTTATTTCATTTAAGGGAATGTTTACATTTCATAAATTATAAGAAAATTTAAAGACTCAAAAAGTCTTTTGACCTCTGCAAGAGACCTGCCAATTCATTAATACCAGATTTTTCTGGAGAGAAGAGGCCAATTTATTTCTCATAAACATGCCTTCATTAAGTATTTATGAGGATTTGACAACACAATTCACTACATTAAACATACAGAAATTCTGGGTATTGCATGCTATTGTATGTATTTCTAGAATTATTTATTTGATTTTTTTACAGTTTTACCTATTTGTTTAAAAAAAATTGCTCTGTGATAATAAATTTTAAAAATTTCAGCAATGCCAATATAGAGTAACCTGGAAGATCTTCTACCAAAACACTACCAAAACATAAATGGAGACTATTATACTAATTAGCCTTTCTTATTATAGTGTGTTTATGTTATTTTTAGTGGCTGCCTAGATTTTTTCAGTGTTGCTGTAATGCCTAGTCRTTTCCCTAAATGGGCATTTCCCATTAGATGGGCATTCTAATTTTTTAAAACATTTTCTCTTACACACAACRCAGAAAACACCATTGAACATTTTTGTGGATATGTGAGCTTATTGTACAAGAGTTCCTGGGCRTGGAATTGCTGGGTCAAAGGGTACTTTGGGAATTATTAAGAAAGCTTTCAGAGAGAGATTGCTCCTCACCTGCTCATCCTGCCCTGACCTTCAGTCCCACCCCACATTGATGACTGTCATTTTCAGGTGGTTGATCCAACTATAACTATGCAGAGGAGGCCAGCTAGTGGTCTCCTTTCCCAGACAGGTCTGAGTTTCCCTCTTTCCTATCACAATACAGGGGTAAAGGGGGTGATTTCTGTCATTAAAGACCCTTGCTCTTTTCCTCTTCTTGCAAATGTCATTGAAGCACCCATAGTCTAGGTGTAGTTCTAAATCCTTCCCCCATGTTAAAGAAATCTGAGGGCACACACTACATATTCCATTGAATTATATTACAACTCTCATTTCAAATTATTCAGTCAAGTTCACCCTCTACGGTCTCTGTATTGGTGACACTTAACAAATTTTACTTGCTACAGAAAGGCCAAATGTATTACACACATCATTTGTGTTCGAAACAAAAAATAATTAGTAAATTAATAAGTCCAGATAAGCAAAAACAAAAAGATAAAACAGGCTTAACCATATTATCAAGAGACAATCAGTGTGAACACTTTGGTTACTATATAGACCCTTGAACAACAGCCTTGAACTGCAAGGTCCACTTGTACCTGGATATCATTTTTTGGAGATTTGYAACAATTAGAAAAAATTTACAGATGAACCCCATGGTCCAGATATTGGAAAAAAATTAGGAAAAAGATATGTCATAAATGTATAAAATATATGTAGGCAATAGTCTATTCTACCAACTGCTTCCATGATATATACACAATACTTCATAATCCACGTGAATCAAACTGTGTAATATGATGTATTAAGAACTATGTAATGTTATGAACGACCAATAAAAAAAAAATGAAAAGACAAATTTTAAAACAAAACAAAAAAAAAGAGTTGAAATTTATTAAAACTTTATTCACTAAACATAGACTATCCATAGAGCCATTCTCAATTGAGAAAAAAGTAAGCAAACATAAAGATGAAATATTAAATCATAACTGCATGAAATTAATTATAGTAATACTATACTACTGTAATTATTTCATAGCCACCTCCAGTTACTATTGCTATGAGATCAAGTGTCTGCTTAAAATATCCCATGACACTAAYCATCCCTGTATAAGAAATTTGTTCTTCTCGCCAGCAAGTTGCAAATGGCAGTGAGCTTCTCACATATTTTTCACCATCAATATTACACATGATATTTTTAAAATGTCTTCATCAACTCTTTATGTTATTGCTCATGGTCAACAGCAAGCTATAAGTAGTTACATTCAGGGGAGCCAAAAGTTATATGCAAATTTTCAACTGAGTAAGGGGGTGCACTTAACCTCAGAGTTATACTTCCAAACCTATTTTTCTTTGTGTAGAAATTGTTATGGATGCAGACATAAGATTCCATTAAACCCTAGATTGTTATCTATTTTCCCCCCCAAATAATTTTACTATGTCTTTCTTTTCCTATGAACAAAATGTGCTTCCATTTCTTTGGGCAGCCTRATATTCCATTTTATGAATATTCCATAATTTATTTAAGCAATCTTTATCATTTAACACTTAAGTTGCTTCTTTTTTTTTAGTTATAAACAAATTGCGACAAATGTTTTTATAGCTAAAATAGATACATAGCTTCATATTTCAGGTTAAAAAATTTTGAAGATGAATGTTTGGACCACAGTATATGCTTAAATTAAAGAACTTTGATATCTTGATATCCAAGTTTTTAAAATACCATGGTATGTGGACTTGTTTAGGCCAGTCTGACCTTTGTTCCCATTAGGTCATGRGGCTTATGCTTATTTGCTCTTTCCGATGATCCATACCACATTAACCACCGCTCCTGACCAAGCTGTCTTTCTGTACACTAYATCCCTATACTCCCCTCTCCAATGGACTCTGGAGAAAACTGTCCCTTTAAAAAATTTTCTGTGGATTGTGACATAGATTCTTTAGGAAAAGGTACCTGTTCCTACCTCTGCTTTAGACACAGAGAACATCACCTCTTTCATTCCTTATCAAAAACTATTTCCACTAAATGATACTTCAGATTTCCAGCATATCTTTTGGGATTTACTTCACAAACTCCCAATTATATCCCATTATTATTATTCTGAAGCACTTGCAATTTTCAATAGATGTGTGCTTTCTACTTCATGTGCTTATATCTCTGTATATTCACTCCTTTGCTAAAATGCCTTTCCTCTTAGWCATCTAAAACATAACTAGGCACCCTACAAGGTTACCTTCTCTTTGAAGCTTTCCCTCAGTGCTGCCTGTCCTCTACCAGGTGACATCTCAYAGACCCCTCTACGTTTAAACAAATATTAAGGTAATAATTTTGTGTATCAATCAATTTCCCCTAGTAAACTGTGAACTCTGCAAAGGGAAGAAACTGCCTATTCATCTTTGTCTTCATGCCCCAATTTCCTCAGTGGTAAAAAGAAAAAATAGTGATAATAATAGTGCCTGTTGTGGGATTAAGTGAAGTAAGATGTAATAAGATTTTTTAGAATAATGTTGCTCACTAGTAAGATGCTTAATAATCAATAACTTTGATTAATAACTTACTGGTAAGAGCTCCTACTATTGTATCTGCAACAAAGTCAACAAAATGTAACTGCTCACTACACATGTGTCAGCTCCCTGAAGAAATGAAGATGAAATAAAAAAGGGTAATGTAATGAGTAAGGGCCAACAGAAAGGTTCTGACCAGATATGTTCTAGTCATATCTACAACCCAGAAAAGGAGTGTTTGAAGATTCCCTTCCACTTACCTCCAGCATTATTGAGAAGAAAAGATGTAACCCCAGCAGCTGGGAAATCCATGCTTGTGAATAGAAGAGTAACTCATTAAATCACTGTGGCTTTGGCAAAAGTACTTATCAACAATGCCTTAATTCTGTCTTCCCTGAATCTATATTTACCAAGAAAACTTAAGCTATTCATTTCTTTTCCAGGAAACTTGAAATAAGGAAGTTGGTGTTAACAGCTGGCCATCAGAATAGACTAGAGGAGGTGTCCATCACTATAAATGTAAACATTTATTTTCTTTTGAGAGTTTGCTTAGTGTCACTAAATTATGTGGGAAAAGYTATTTGGAAACTACTACTGGGCTCTGTGAGCTCTGTGAGAGAGCCCTGGGAAATACATGGCTGCATAAAACCAGGATGTCAATCACAAGAGTCAACGTGAGCAGAAATACTCTTCTGACAGAATACATAATAATTTGAGAAGCATAAAATGGGCATATGTTTTCACTTTCTTCTCAATTTTTTACCTTAAGATCCAAAATGTTTACCTGTACTAGTTAAATTCTACCGTCCTACTAACAAGAATGTTGTCCTATATGCTAGTAACATGGTTCTTTCTTCATAAACCAGAGTAGCTTTCCAAATATTTACTCTGTCTTGGTATTGTCAGAGAAAGAAGGATTAAAGTACCAATTAAATCCCAATTATTTTTTGGCATATGTCCATCTTTCTTTTTTAAATTTTAAATCTATCAATTAAGTAGGATAAGGATGATTATTGAGTATATATAGTATAGAATATCTTTCCTAAGAACACATATTACAACTAACTTATTATAAAGTTGAGCTGAACACTACATTGCTTAAAATTAAGCATTTAATTGATGTATTAATAATTTACCTTTGGCAATGTGGACTTGTAACTCTGCTTTGGAAATAATCCAGCATGGAAATGGTRCATCAAATCTCTACGGCATATAATTTGGGAACATGCTCTTTTGCTTGTCATGTGTGAAAAGGATGTAGAATTGATTTTGGATAGTAATTTTGACCCTGCCTGAATGAAGCTATTTGAACTTTCCCCCAAAAGGAAGTTAAATGGGCTTGCTTTGATGGCTTCCTATTCTACAACATGTTCCAGTTATGTTCCCAAAATTTCTTTAAGAGGAGGATATCAACACCACATCCATCTGATAGATCACTAAAGCACACAATCTACCCCAAGGTGGCAACAGAGAGTTGAACTTCAGGTTGTATTCAGAAAATAGAAGCTAAAACTCTCTTTTGCTCTCTTTASTCTTTTAATTTCCATATTATCTACCTTTGTTATCAGGGGGAAATAATATATGTTTTAAGAAAAAGAAGCAACCTATGAAACTTGSCATAAAATTCATTAATTATAGTGTACTAAGGACTAGAAGGCATTACTTAATATATCACTTGGTGTCTCAAGTTTAAGGACCCATGTGTCTCCTTAGGATCTGGTACATTTTTATGTAGAGCCCATGTGAATATTTTAATTGATCACCATCTCTGACTTTACAGTTTTCCTTAAGTAAATCTCTAGTATTACATGACTCTCACTTTCATGGCCCAATTGTGTCCCTTTACCCTGACTCATTTGGTTATCTTTTACACTATTATTATCCATTTCTAACACCCCTCTTTCTAGGGGAGGAGAAAATAAATACATAGAAAATAATAACAAATCTTTAGCACTTATGATACGTGGGAAAAGTAATAAAATCAATCTCTTTTCTAGTTAGGGGTTTTTATCCATTTCCTAATTTATCTAGTATTTTGCATAYTCTCAATAAATAGTTACGGTTTGGGTAAATAAAATATAGTCCAATATAAAAAGTCATACTTCAAGGATGTAAGCAGAAAGCCCTAATCTTATTTTTTAAATTACACTAAATCTAGCTATAAATCATTCTATCACTTGGACAAAATTATATTTCAAATAGAAGTTTTAGTTTCTGTCTTCMACTAAAGGGAAGCTTGGAAAAGTCATAATAGTCCATTAATTGCTTCAAGGAGATAATTTTGCTCTCGTTACAAAGAAACAACTAAATCAATATCATAAACCTACATTTTACACTAAAAATTTTAGGAAATTTTCTAATAAATTTCATGGAATATGTCAACAATATTAAATCAAGAACTAGGACCACAGTGTGCAGTACTTAAGGATTGTGGTTTTTTTTTTCATTTATTGAAACAGCAAATCTGTTCCAAATAAGTAATTGGAGGCCTTTTAAAACCCACGCTAAATCATAATAGGCAGAGTGTGACTAGCCATGTGCAGAAGGTAGCATAGCAGGGTCTCCARTTCTCTCTTTATTTTAGGAGTCCCTAGTTCTGTTTCCCAAGATTTTTTTTTTTTTCACTAGTAATGTGAACTGAGTTTTCAATGGGAGGATTTTCATTTATAAGCTTTGTATTTCATGACATTTTTGATACCTTCCACACATTTTTGATTACCAACAATAAACACTCCAACTTTGAAGAACAAAACAATACACATAAAAACACAAGAGCAGATACAGAGTAGCTAAATGGTGGACATTTTCAACAAGTCTGTAGAAATACACACACACACACACACACACACACACACACACACACTCCCTAGTCCTCTTATTCAAGAACTCTCCATATGTAGAATTAATATCTCCCAATAGCCTGTAGGAATCTACTTGGGATGGGACAGTGCCTCTGAAAACACTGTATGCACAAAGTACTTAAAACTTCTTGCCCCACAAGTGCAATCTTTAGGGTCATTATTCATTAACTGTAGCTACTTTCAATTATATAGCTTTTATCAATTTCAAAAGAACATCCACACAATTTGAATTCAACAATTTACACTGTTAACAAGCCAAAGGCCTGGAAAAATATTAGTAAGCAAATGACATCTAGGAAAATCATGATTTAAGTTTCTACCTAGCTTTCAAATGCCAGGGGATAATAGTTTGAGTCTTTTTTTTTTTTTTT